TGGCGGGGAACAAAAAAAGAACCGTGCTACCCAAACCCACCGGCGTGTGTTTGCCTAAGAGCTGTGCTTGCCATTACCAGTAGTGCTGGAGAGTGAGGTGAAATGACAACAGAGCTTCTATGTGGGAAACCAGACTGCTCCTCCCAGAAGCAGCCACCTGCCCTCAACATCATCTATACCTCCCTCCTCACCAAAGCTGCAAAGAAGTCAGCTCTGTTGATCAGGTTGCCCTGCCCTTCTCAACACTGTTCTGCCTTCTGATCTTGTCTTCTCTCCAGTACAGCAGTAATCCACCTTGCTCTACCTCTATGCTCTTCACTGGGACAGCAACAGGCACAGGAATGCTGTTGCTCTGGGATGGAAAGAGAGGGCTGCTGCTTTCATTGGATGGGGAGGAAAGGTAGAAGCCATTAACACAGAAAGCTGCGTGCAGCAAATGAAGAATTTGCTTTTTATTATTATTATTTTAATGATGCTCGTGGGTAGGAACATAGTAGGGAGCAATTCATTACAGGGAGAACTTTGTTTCCATGCCAGAAAAGAAAAGTAGCTGCTTTTATGTGGACCAAGTTGAGAAAAGAAGGGAACAAACAGTATTAGAGTTCAGAGGACAGAACAGGTTGCTTGTGCCGCTCAGTCCCATTATGAACAAGTAAGAGGTAGAATGGTCCAATGAACCACCTGATTACCCTGACCAACCTTTCTTAGCCATTAGCTACTCCTTGTTACCAGCAGAAAACAGTAACAGACAGGCTGAAACAAGTCCTCCAAGTGCCCAAAGGAGAAGCACCCTAAAACTTAGAGACCTGATCTCCCCTGCAGCCTATTTTCTTCATTGCCCTAGAAGAACACAAGTTCTATCCAAACTTCTCTATAGGCTCTTTGTGTGGTTAAATGCCAGGAGAATAGGAGCTCAAGCAGAGCTCTTCTGACTTTGAGCACTGAACTGAGCTGGACTGCACCATAATAACCATTTTGCTGCTCTGCTCCTGTGTGGCACAAGCAAATTTTACTGCTTAAATCTGATTTTGCACCTGGCAGTTGCAATGTTCCTTCACCCTCATATATATCATAGCAGCATAATTTCATTTCAGTTCCATCACAGGAATTAGAAGTTGCTATGTTGGTGGGGCTGGGTACACAAGTCAAACTGAGCATTCCAGATTAACCAATTGCTTTCTTTACAGCATATCAGTATTGACTCATTTAAGTGACAAAAAAAGCCAAAAAGAAAAAACATTCCAGCTCAGTGCATAGAGCTCAATCAAAATGGTTCATCTCCTCAGTTCTGTTTCACTCATAAACCCCCTTTTATGTTTCTTGGAATTCTGATTAACTTACCAAGCTGTGAATTGTTGGTTGGCATCTCATCTGTATAAAACAAAAATGGGATGCATTATATTTTACAAATACCTCTGCCTACCTCCTCCCCTCCTTGCAACACAAAAGCCAATAGTCCTAGCTTTACTTTCAAAACATATCAGCTATACTTGCAACATTGCCTAGGAGCTTTTAACATCTTTGGTAGAATAAGGACAACAACATTAATTACACAACATTGCTCCCTTTTTAATGCAAGCACACCAATATGAAATTACTTAGTATTCTGTGGAAAAAAACCCAAAACAAAACAAAAAAAAACCCCACAAAAAACCCACCCCACACCTTAATGCAGGAACCTCTTAATTGAAAGTGTGGCCAGTTTTATTCTGTCCCTCAATAAAAATACAACCATAAGCATGGTATTATACGCAAGACCCTTCACTGTTAATCACATTACAAGAAGATCTATATAGGAAAAAAAGCTGACCTGAGTTTTTCAAGGAAAAATACATCAGTGACCATAAATGATTGCAAAAATGCCCTTTCTCCATGCTCACTTTTCTCTTGACAGTTACACAGTGGCATTATATTCAGGCAAACATTTGTATTTTGTCTTCAGTTTTTACTTACTTACCATTGTCCATCTCAGAACTACATTTCTTGTCACTGTTTTTGCTTTTTTGTGCAACTTGTAAGCACAGCTCACGTATACATTTGTTCTGAGCAGCTGTCTTCTAAGTTTAAGTGAGACATCCATCAAAAGCTATACAATTTCACCTGCACAAGTAGGTACCTGCTTTGTTTCTACACACAGAGACTAAAACATTTTCTTCTGTGTATGTCTCCTGTAATGACTTATTTTAGATTAACAAACAAGAATAAAGTTTCTCTGAAAAGAACAAAATGTTAGAAATAAGAGTTCAGAAATACACAGAAGGACCATTACTCATTTGCAGTAGCATTATTCAGTTCCTATCAAGGTAACTGCATAAATAGCTCTGTTACCAGAACAACTGGTGACTAGAGTGATGGGGCGACCTGGCTAACTCAGGGTGCCTCTGCAGACACCAATGTGCACAGGAACGGCCCCAGGACAGATGCAGAACCAAGCTAAATGAGGGAAGTGAGGGGCTGCACAACCATACAACTGCAGACCTAATACTGGGGTAGGAACTATGGTGAGTCAGGTACAGCAGGTACGATGGGCTCTGTACAAATGCATCTGTACAAAAGCTGGACCACACCTGGCCTTGAAAATAGTACAAGCACCTCCATGCAGCATCGCACCAGAGTAAGCCAGCACCGCACCCTGGCACTCCTCATCCAAAACCAGATAATTCTGTTCAAGTTCTCTCATGACCTTCTCCCGTTTCTTTCCTTTAGTATTCATGAACCTCACATTTTTAATGCACTTACTTATTTTCACAATGGCAAGGGACAGTGGGAGGAAATACTAATTCCCTCTTTCTGCTCCAGAAGGAAAAGTGAAGTGCAAGTCAGACTAAGTGACTTGCCCAATGCTACTCAGGAAATTTGTGACAGTTCAGAACTGAATGCCATTTTTTTCAGAGTACTTCCCATCAAACCATCCTTCTGTCAGCAGGCGTGGGATGCTCCAAAAGCATTCTATGGAGATACAGAAATATGTCTAATCTAAAAAGTTCTAGCCACATATCTCAATTAGAAGACACCCTAAAAAAATATTTTCCTTTTCCAAGCTTATTCATGTTTTCATTTTTAAAAAACCTCAACAGTTGTCAAGAAATTATAAAATCATTTATCCTTCCTTTGAGGTCATTAAACACCCGTGGACAGGTATTTGTTTGCTTGTGGTTATGCAGTATTTAAAAGGTAATTGATGAGTATCTTTTTTAATTGTAAAAATAGCATTCACAGCATTGGAATCATAAGCTATATTGCCTAATACGGGTTGCTCATATAACAAGCTTTATCTAGTTTCCATTCCTTGCCTAAGGCAGCATTTCTCTAGCATACATGTTTGTCTGGGCAAATCTGTCATTCATTTCCCATAAGTACTCATACATGCAACTTTGAAGTTAGTACTTTTCACTTTTTCTTGACTAATCAGATAGCAGCAACTCAATTGGGACTATGTATAATGCAGAACAAAAATACTCATTTTCATTGCAGAAATGTTGCTTATAACAGAGGGTATTTGTTCGAAAAATGGTCTCTTGCTAGATGGTTCCCTGTTCTGGAGGATCAGTTGTTCTCTTTGTATATGTGGACAGAACAACCACTTTGCACATAAAGAAGGATTTTATTCCCAAATGTTTCAATTATTTTTCCTAGATAGGATTCAGTCCTGCTTTCAGCTTCCTATATCTAAGGCTGCTGAAATAATTTGCTTAACTGCAACTACTTATAAATATCTGCAAACAGAATTTCTTAAACATTTTTCAAATATTTCATTTTTATTATTTTGTCAACAGCAGTCACATAAATTCTTTTCAGAGACTGCAGGTTGCATTTAGACTTGGGGTTTGGGTTTTTTGGTTGGTTGGTTGGGTTTTTTTTTAAAAAAAAAAAAAAAGAACTTTGGTAATAAAAATGGAAATAATGGAATTTCACCCTGGATTTAAAGGAGTAGATTTGGGCCCACTCTGTTTGTCCTATTTCTTTCTTGTAGCTGAAGGCTAAGCATAGCATGTATTAATTTTATGCAATGCTTAGCTAAAAACCTACAGGTGAAGCTAGAAGAAATGGTGAATAGCAAGTGACAGTGAATAGTCATTAGCTGTCCAAATTAAATTGCAAAACTGAACACAGTACCTTAAATTCCATTATCTTCAGTGAAATCTGACAAAAAAAAAAAAAAAAAGGAAGCCAACCCACTGAGTTTGGGCTTTTATAATGGCCTTATATGTATAACAGTATTCCACATTGATTTTATTGGGGTAGGAAGGAAGCATGTGAGAGCCAAACAGAAATATTAGCTCAAAATTTCTACCAAAGACTCCAACAGTAGGGAAAAACATACCCAGCAAACTCATGGAGAATCCACCCTTTCCCTAAGTCACTGCAAATTTATATTAAGCTGCAAAACATTTCCCCAGGTTTCTGAGATTCCTGCAGTCCATAGAAAAATTGCTCATTCCTACCACTCCTCGTAATGATGGGGCCAGCAGAAATCACAGCATTGCCAGAGGTGCTCTGAGGGCTCCAAGTTGTCCTCCCACCAGCGTCTCTTCTTTCTCTGTTACTGCAAATCTGAGTGGTTAATCAAAACAATCACAGTTTCAGAGTGGAATGGAATTATGGCCCTTCTGTGCTTCCTGCTTTAATGTAAACTCTTTTATAAGCGACACTACAACTTTGATTCTATTTCTTAGTATGCATTAAATTACTTTGCAATAAAAACAGCTGCAATATTCCCTAGAAGTGTATCTTATAAATGCCCAGCTTCCCGTTGTATTTTGCCTCAGTTCATTTACAGAACTACATTGCTGTTGTGTACAAGATCCATCTTATAGTATATTAAATTTTCAGTAGTTAATTTCCCAAAGCTTTGTTTACAGACAGTTTTCCCCAACAAACGTGTTTTGCTTGACTAGGGACAGACAACATGCTACAATCCCTATTCTAGCAAGCTTCTCAAGTTAAAGTTCACATTTTTTCGATGGAGTTTTATATAGCAATGACCCACATTAAAACAATCCCTGGCACTCTGTCATCTGGAATCTACCTTTAACATCTCTAACTTGTCATCTACCTCAATCTTGAGTACTCAAGTATGCTTCAACCAAGAGCATTTCTTTAATTTCAACTTCTTGTGAAAGAACTTCAAAAACCTCAGAACATAAATTCAATACAAACAATGAATTATTTAAAAGTGTAACATAAAAATATAAATAATGTACAAAATGTCAGAAGTATACTGAACTGATAGCATTTTAAAATTCTAAATGGTAAGTCATTCAATAGGAAACGATACTGCATCCTAAAGTCATCAACACAGAATATTCTGTGTTTATATGTTTATTTAAATGTTTCAATTTCCAAAATACATTTGTTGCTCCTGACACTCCTAAAATTAAATAATTTTTGAATTGACACAACTTCATGAACTTCAGCAAAACAGCAGTTTCCAAACTATAAGGGAGGTGGCAATAAACTATACAGGATGTAGTAATTTTTTTTCCACTATCAGAAACTCTTTCATATTTTCCTTATCAGTATAACGGTGCTTACTATAGCTTTAAGTTTTCCATATATTCTATTCTAAGATATTTCTATTCATCCACTGTGACTGTGGATACCTTGTTTCTTAGATGCTATACTAAGAACATCAGCTCTGAAGCTGTCTCAGTTATTACTTTTAATAATGAATTAAGGACCAAAAGGCAAAGAGGTCATTTCTCACATGTCCAACAACCTGTGTTTTGCATACCTAGTATTATTCTATCTCCAGATTACAATATTCATTGCCCTATCCTTCATCAGTTGTTTGACATTCCTTCAGACACAAAAAACATTCTTACTTCAGACTCTACAAGTCACCTTCATTCTGTGCCATCCAAACTTCCATAGCATTTGTATGCAGAATAACTCCAGTGTGCCTATTTTATATCCAGACAATTAACAGCAACTTCCGTCCACTGAAACTTACTGGCACAAGAAAGGGGCAGTCATCTGCTCTGCACAGCTTTGTCACACAGTGAAGGAAGACCGTAGACATCTTCTGGTTCTTGTGCTTCACAAAGCGAAACACCTCAAAGGAAAACCGGCCCATTTGGCTCTTGCCATTTTCAATTATAGTTGTCTGCGGGTCCTTGTCACAGCTAGTTTTTGTAGAGAACATTAAAACTAGGATGAGCAGCTGTATGATTAGCATTTTGAAGCTCTTAGCTGAAAATAAGATAACTTAAGCAGCAAGTTCAGTGCTTTAGTTCCTTGGAAAAGAACACTGTGCCCTAATATCCAACATGAGCAGCCACAATCTGCCTGTTAGGCTGTGCTGAAATGCATTCCTATAAAAACATTGTGTTTTGTTTTGCAACATCACAGCTATAACCAAGGTACCATTTAATTCCGGTGCCTGAAGAAACTTGAGACCTGAAGCAAAAAGTAATCAGGTATGTTAACTGGTATAGACAGGTAACTCCAAATGAAGACAGTATCTCTCCAGCAACTGTCACTGATAAGATTTTACCTGAGATACTGCCAAGATGTTTATCAAAGTTTCAATTCAAATAAATTTTACTAGTGGGGGTAGAAGCAGGAACATCTATTTATCATTAATCATTTGCTTAACTGCTTTCCTGAACTGGAGTCTATGTTTTATATCACTGTCATTCACCACAAGGGTACCTTTGGTAAAATAAAGGACAGTTAGCCATTCAGTTTGGGTGTTTATGGTATCTCTAGTACAACCATTTTAGACATATGCTTCTCTACCTTCATGTCCTGGTTTTGGCTGGGATAGAGTTAATTTTCTTCCTAGTAGCAGGCATAGTACTGTGGTTTGCATTTTAATATGAGAAGAATGTTGATAACACACTGATGTTTTAGTTGTTGCTAAGTACTGCTTATGCTAGTCAAGGACTTTGCAGCTTCCCATGCTCTGCCAGGTGCACAAGAAACTGGGAGGGGGCACAGCCAGAATAGTTGATCCAAACTGACCAAAGGGCTATTCCATACCATATGATGTCATGCTCAGTATAGAAACTGGGGGGGGCTGGCCGGGGAGCAGCGATCGCTGCTCGGGAACTGTCTGGGTATCGGTCGGCAGCTGGTGAGCAATTGCATTGTGCATCACTTGCTTTGTATATTATTATTATTATATTGTTATTATTATCATTACTATTTTACTTTATTTCAATTATCAAACTGTTCTTATCTCAACCCAGGAGTGTTTCTCACTCTTACTCCTCTGATTCTCTCCCCCATCCCACCAGGGCAGTGGGAGTGAGAGAGCGGCTGCGTGGTGCTTAGGTGCTGGCTGGGGCTAAACCACGACACTTCAAAATTCTTACAACTTTGCATTTGCTTCTATGTTTACGTTCACAAACAAGATAAGTCCCAACATGTTATCTGTAAGCCCAGTCCTCAGTCCCCCCCGATACTATTGCTTAGACTTTCCAGGCAGTTTAGAACACCACTATTGGAGAGATTTATAACTGTTTTTTAAAGGAAGGACCTGCAAAACACTGGGTTTGCACAGGACCTACCTGAAAAAAAGATCATATCGAAGATCATCGCTAGGATTACCGGATGGCGTGGTGTAACAGTAGTCCATCAAAACATTCCACCTGCACAGGGAGCAAAGTGATAGATAAGGAGAATTGGCAATGTAAGAGTAGGGGTGGAAAGTGAGTGAGATAAGATTAAAAGACAGCACAGGCAAGCATACAAACTGATAATGCAGACTGTTACACTGAAGCTGAGTTATGGTATTTAACAGGTCACATACAAGTCATCCTGCATTCCCAATATATAACCTGTTTCCTCCCACAACTTGCAAAACTAAACAGCACAGCATAGCAGCAGAATTGTATAAATCAAATTACTTGGTTTCATGCAAGTCAACCACTATACCAACACATTGTACACATCCTCTCAGAAGTCATGGCCACATAGGACTAGAAATCAAAGCCATCCCACTTTTAAAAGCTGTGCTGTTACAAAAAATCTAACAGAGGGTGGAGGCTAGCAGTGGACTATCACAGCCTGAACGAAGTCATGCTGCCACTGAGTGCTGCCATGCCAGACATGTTAGAACTCCAGTACAAACTGAAGTCAAAGGTGGCCAAGTGGTATGCCACAACTGATATTGTTAATGCATTTTTCTAAATCCCTTTGGCAGCAGAGAGCAGGCCATAGTTTGCTTTCACTTGGAGGGGCGTCCAGTACACCTGGAATCAACTGTCCTGGGGTGGAAACACAGCCCTACCATTTGTAATGGATTGATACAGACTGCACTGGAACAAGGTGAGGCTCCCGAACACCCGCAGTATACTGATGACATCATTGTGTGAGGCAATGCAGCAGAGGAAGTGTTTGAGAAGGGGAGAAAAGTAATCCAGATTCCTTTGAAAGATGGTTTTTCTATAAAACAAAGTTAATGTCAAAGGACCTGCACAGGAAATCCAGTTTTTAGGAATAAAATGGCAAGATGGGCATCATTGTATCCCAATGCACATGATCAATAAAATAACAGCCATATCTCCACCAATTAGCAAAAAAGAAACAGAAGCTTTCCTAGGTGTCATGGGTTTTTGGAGAATGCCTATTCCAGGTTATAGTCTGATCGTAAGCCTTCCCTATCAAGTGACCCAGAAGAAAAATGACACTGAATGAGGCCCTGACCAGCAGCAAGCCTTTCAACAAATTAAATGGGAGGTAGGGTGTTGGAGCTGGGGATATAGAGGACCTGAATCCCGTTACACTCCAACTGAAACAGAAATATTAGCAGCGTATGAAGGAATTTGAGCCACTTCAGAAGTAGTTGGTACTGAAGCACAGCTCCTTTTGGCACCTTGATTGCTTGTGCTGGGCTGGATGTTCAAAGGGAGGCTCCCCTCTACACATAATGCAACTGATGCTACATGGAATAAGTGGGTCACACTGATAACACAACGGGCTCAGATGGAAACCCCAGTTGCCCAGGAATTCTGGAAGTGGATCATGGACTGGCCAGAGGGCCAAAACTTTGGAGTGGCACCAGAGGAGGTGACTCATGCTGAAGAGGCCCCTCTGTATAATAAATTACCAGAAAGTGAAAAGCAATATGCCCTGTTTACAGATGGATCCTGTCATATTGTGGGAAAACATCGAAGGTGGAAAGCTGCTGTGTGGAGTCCTACATGACAAATTGCAGAAACCGCTGAATGCTAAGGTGAATCAAGTCAGTTTGCAGAGGTGAAAACCATCCAGCTAGCTTTAGATATTGCTGAGTGAGAAAAACGGCCAGTGCTCCGTCTCTATACTGACTCATGGATGGGGGCAAATGCCCTATGGGGGTGGTTGCAGCAATGGAAGCAGAGCAACTGGCAGCACAGAGGTAAACCCATCTGGGCTGCTGAATTATGGCAAGATACTGCTGCCCACGTAGAGAACCTGGTTGTAAAAGTTCGTCACGTAGATGCTCACATATCCAACAGCTGTGCCACTGAAGAACATCGAAACCTTGAGCAGGTAGACCAGGTAAACCAGGTTGCTATAATACTCTGCTCTGGTAAGACCCCATGGAATACTGCGTCCAACTCTGGACCTCTCAGCACAGGAAAGACATGGACCTGTTGGAACAGGTCCAGAGAAAGGCCACAAAAATGATCAGAGGGCTGGAGCATCTCTCCTATGAAGAAAGGCTGAGAGAGTTGGGGTTGTTCAGCCTGGACAAGAGAAGGCTCCAGGGAGGCCTTACTGCGGCCTTTCAGTACTTAAAGGGGGCCTATAAGAAAGATGAGGACAAACTCTTTAGCAGGACCTGTTGCAATAAGACAAGGGGTAATGGTTTTAAAGTAAAAGAGGGTAGATTTAGACAAGATATAAGGAAGACATTTTTTACAACAAGGGTGATGAAACACTGGAACAGGTTGCCCAGAGAGGTGGTAGATGCTCCATCCCTGGAAACATTCAAGATCAGGTTGGATGGGGCTCTGAGCAACCTGATCTAGTTGAAGATGTCCCTGCTCACTGCAGGGGAGTGGGACTAGATGACCTTTAAAGGTCCCTTCCAACCCAAACTATTCTATGATTCTATGAATTGAAGTGGCTCAGATGGATCTGGACTGAGAACGTAGGGGTGAGCTATTTATAGCTCGATGGGCCGATTACACATCAGGTCATTTAGGAAGGGATCCAACATAGAAATGGGTGAAAATAATGTGTTATTTGAGTTGCCTGTTATGGGAATTACTACAGCAGGAACGCCTTGTTGCTAGCCAGGCTAGGACCAAGGGGAGGAGTTCATTGCAACGTTAAACCCTATAATCTGGTCCCCAAAGGGACCAGGGGTGGATATTGTAATGGAAAGACTTTTAAACTGTTGTAACCCATGACTTTAGTTGCGTGTCATAGGAATTACTATAGCAGGAACCACCTGAACCAATGGACAACGAGCCTTACAAGAAGTAGTGCAAGTGCAGCAGTGACCTGACCTGAGCTGGCTTTGGTGCCCAATAACTTGACACAACACATGACCTCTCCTGTCCTGAGTGATTATCATAACAGATGGAGCTTGAAGTCATGGACTAAATTAACTCAGTGGACATTTTGTGGACTTTTATGGACATTTTACAGACATTTCACAGGGTTGGTCCATAGACTAAGGGAATGATATCTGCATATAGTATCAAAGGATGGGAAGGGTGGTGGTGGTTAATGAGAATGTATTAGATAGCATGAGACCTGAGGATGATGTAAGTGGTACGGAATAAGGGGTGGAAAATGTGCTGATTTTGGCTGGGATAGAGTTAGTTTTCTTCACAGTAGCTAGTACAGGGCCATGTTTTGGATTTGTGCTGTAAAAAGTGTTGATAATACAGGAAAAGTGTTGATAGTAGAGGGATGTTTTAGTTACTGCTGAGGAGTGCTTACAGAGTCAAGGCCTTTTCTGCTTCTCACCCCACCCCACCAGCAAGTAGGCTGGGGGTGCACAAGAATTTGGGAGGGGACACAGCTGGGACAGCTGACCCCAGCTCACCAAAGGGCTATTCCATACCACACAACGTCATGCTCAGTATATAAACTGGGGGGGGGAAAGCTGGCAGGGGAGCCACTGCTCAGGGACTGGCTAGGCATCAGTCAGCTGGTGGTGAGCAATTGTTTTCAGTTGCATCACTTGTCTTTCTTGGGTTTTATTTCTCTCTCTGTTATTTTCCTTTTCATTAAAATTTATTATTATAATTGTTATTTTATTTCAATTATTAAACTATTCTTATCTCAACCCATTAGTTTTCTCACTTTTACCCTTCCAAGTCTCTTCCCCCCATCCCACTGCAGGGCAGAGGGAGTAAGCAAGTGGCTATGTGGTGCTTAGTTGCCAGCTGGGGTTAAACCACAACAAAAGCCCTGGCATTTCTCACTTGATCTTACAGAGGCCCTTTCTTAAATAACAGCAATATAAGATCTAAAGTATAATTCAGGAAAACTTTCATAATGAGGACAGCAGCAAGACATGCATTCACCATCAAGGACCTGATACCCTCCAGCTGAAGGCCATGATTATCAAACACCAACCATTATTTTAACATGCAAAAGGCTATGAGGAAAGACAGTTACTTCTAATCAGAAAAATCTGCAACACCAAGAGCTGAATAGCAAGCAAGACAAGAAAGAACATCCTTTATGGTACCTGCCATCAAGGTTGGTTGCTCTTACAGCTGCATATATTTTGGTTTTCAAAGGTAAACCTGTACTTGGAACAAGGAGCTGCTGGCTGTAGGTTGAATCCTGAAAAACAAACATTGCCTCAGTGTACCAGAAATCCCTCTGTAACAACCCATCTGCATCCACAGACCGAACTCCCATCTAATTTTTCTAACCTTTCTATGTAGGACAGTGATTTACTTTGTCCTCTGTAAAGGAAGAAGCAAAAAGCAGTGCCAGAGCATCGCCTACAAGTTTGCCTGTAAACATCAACACTTGACTGGCCTATGCAACTATTTTGGGGAATCTATTTATGATTTTATGAAGCAGTTGGATCAGTGATTAAAGAAAAGGTATCATTCATTGACACCTCAGTAAGTCTCCCAGCACCTACAGGCAAACGTAGCAGCTACTGTGGTTTTCTAAAGGAGGAGCTTAACTGGGTTGTCACAGTGTACTCTTTCCCAGGAAAGGTTGTTAAGGTTATTTGATTTAGTGGAGATAGCAATGCCATCAGGTTTTATATATCTTAAGCCACAGTCTGGGAGAACAGACACATTCTATTATGCAAAATGTAGCTTCTGTGGAAGTTGGCTTGTGGAAGACTGCAAGTAACATTTTCATTTAAATTTTAATATTCAAAAAAAGCTGTTTCAGGAAGCTGTAAAAGTTGGGAATTCCCCATATACTATTACATAGATATAACTGCTTTATTGGTTTCTTGTTCAAAGGCTGAACCATTAATGTTACTTTAGCAGCAATGCCATGAAACAGATCTGAGTGACAGACATTAATTCAGCATATCAAAATGCACCTACTGGTAATGTCACCTATGTCAAATAGGCTGTTAACCAGAAAGCACAGGGACTCAGCATGTTGAGACCTCTTGTGAGAGGTCAAAACACTCAATACATAAGAAAAATTTCGTTAAACAGAATTTTGACCAGGTTCAGTGTGGCAGGTAAGACCAATAGCAGCAGCTGACAGCAACAAGAAGGATTAAGCACATAAATCAAATATTTTTTCGGAAGGGAACAATGACAAAATTCACAGCACGCCCAATATTCAATCTCTGCAGCATTGGAGGCCTTGGGACGTACACATGTACACACAGACCAGCTCTCTGGCATACACAGAGCAAGTCTTTGAAGATCCATTCAAGTGAGATCAGGTAGGTTTGCCTTCGTGTATAATTAATTATACATTTCTCTAATATATAGCTCTGTCACATTTTGCAAACTGATTAAAAAGTCTACAGCCAGTCCCTCACTATTACATTCCATAGTTGTTCTTTTTTTCTTAAAGAGCAAGGTTTTATTCATTTAGACAGACATTTACAAGAGGGCCTAAAAGCACATAGCCACTTAGGCTCTGTGAATGCCCATTAAATGTTTTGCTATTAAACTCTTTCTGAGTCTATCATAATGCCTCCTCTCGTCTTTCCTAACGATAACACACAGTAACACCACAAAGTAAATGTAAACATCACCTTGTGAAGAAAGATGGAGGTGAGCTGAGAAGATGAAGTGTCAATGTTAGGAAATAACACTACAGCTGAAGTTTGAAAGTATGGCTGCTCACAGTCAAGAGCCACATCTGTACGCAACCCCTCACCAATACCAAGGGTGGATGGGAGCCTCGAGGCCCCTCCCAAGCCAGGACTCTCTAACAGGGACCACAGGATGTGGTCGAACAGCCCACAGATCAGAGCTCACAAAACCGTGGGTGTCCCAAGAGGCACACCCAGCCAGGCAGACTGCAGGCAACACACAAGTTGTCTGTGTACACACCCAGCCCTAGGATGTGAACAAGAAGGGCATATCCGTCACTTGAATCTGCCAACCTTAGCAGTATTATTCATGCTAGTGCTACTCACTAGAGTAATATGACTGAAATCAGAAGGATAAGACACCACTGTTCATGGTCGACTTGTGAATTCCCCAGGATAGGGAGGATGAAAGCCCAGCTTGGCATGCAGAAAAAATGTGCTCAGTACAATCATCAATAGCATGTATACCTGACTGTGTGCAGAAGGGGGCCCTGAAAGGCAGCAGACATGTGGTGGTCCATGCTTGCCCTGACTGAGAACTTTGGCTCACCATGACTTTTTGGTCACAGGTTTATTTAAAAATGAGAGAAGCATAATCTTCATTTTAACAGATTATAAATTGTTATTTGGAGCTCTGCTCTATCAAACAAACATGATTATTTTTAAGCATGCCTTCGGAAAATGTCCTGTTACAATATTTATAGCTCATTTTGTTCAAAGCATAAAGCATTGACTTTTAAATCAGTTGCATGAATTATAACTTAGTGTCATGATAGCATGAATAATAATGAAAAAAATCAGATTCATAATTTACAAAAATGTTGCTTGATAGATTGAAAAATTGATATTTAAATCAGGTATTTAAAATGTATGAATAAAGATTTTAATCAACACGAAAATACCATTTCAGAGATTAATGTTAAGTAGAGGTCCATGCATTTTTCACATTTTACTGTCACCATCCGTATTTACATAGTAAAAGCTTATACAATAATGCATATTCAAGTTGAATTATCTAAAACATATGGAAGAAGTGTGAGTTGAAAGCTGTTACAATTAACCCTTAAAATCTTGAAAATCCACACCAAGAGGCAACAAGTACAGTGGGCTATAAATTTGGAACAATTCCCACAACCCTCACTACAATTACAGATGATCAAAACACTCTGATGAGGCTTGAACATAAAAATACTCCAGCAAAAGTGCTACAGTTTATTGCTAAGGGAACAGGCCTAGAATATTTTTTACAGAATTCTACAGAGTACTCTCTGTACCAGCAGAATGTACCTATACACATATACACACACATATATAGAAATACGCATACACACACACACATATACATAATAGATGCAAGCACAAGTATGCACTCTGGAGTATGATTATTATTACAACTGATTATTCACATAGCATACAACCTGAAAGCCAGAGCTGTAAATTGAGGAACTGTATAAATACAGGACAAAAAGACTGTGTGTGCCCTCAAAGAGCAGCCCTATAAATACAAGACAAGTAGTACACACAAATGAAAGGGACAAGGGAACTCAGAGATGAAAGATGCCCGGATGAAAGGCCTGGTTCTTCATGGGTGGAGTGGAAAGGGAATAGCAAATAATGAAGAGGAGTTTATACTTTGCTCTGCTAATCCAGTTTGAATCCATATAGTGCAGAGATGGATTTAGTTCAGGTCATACTGCTGTGTTTCATACTTACATTGTAAAGCAATAAATTCAAAGTGCTGATAAATGTACCATTGTTCTCTCTCACAGAAATAGCAGCTGATGACCTACAACAGAACCAGAAACCAAAAACCTTCATGAAGAAAGATATCTTATTTTTCTATTTACATACTTCAGTGGTTTTTATTGTTAAAAAACCTCAGAGTCATGTCACAAGGAGTTAATTTATGCATTTGGGTTATACACTTCAGAAATAGGAATTTATAGTGGAAACACTGACAGAACCTTAACTATGCAGAAAGTAATGGATACTGTTGAAAACATGAATCAGAAAAATAATTCACAGAGAGGCAAAATGACAAAAAGGAACCCACTTTTCATGATGCACAAGGTTTACTCATTGAAATATTTTCTCCTGCATTCTATATTCACATGCTTACAAACTATTTCATGAAGAATTTCCATTATTTGCTACTACCATTTTGTCATCAGAACATCTGAATTTTAAGGGAATTTTTGCATTATCTAAGGCTCTCTCTTCATAAACTATGTTATCTCATACAATGATGCTACAAAATTTTCTTTTCTTTTGCATCACCTTTTCTTTCAGTGCTTTTTCCTTTCCCTTTACTCTTGCACAGCTAAAAATCGCTATGTTGACAATACTGCTAATGGCATGCATATATTTAAGTGTGAATGCATATACACACATACATATGGGTTTATATAAACATGGGAATGAAACACATAGAAATGAAAAGTACACTTACGAAGCAAGCTGGGTATTGTTAACCAAGTACTCCAGTGGATAGCTACAGCTAAATTTGTACAGAAGCCCAGGCAAATAGCTGATAATCGTTGGTGGGTCTGGCGTATCAATATAGCCTGAAACATTACCTATCTGTACCACTGAGGTATTTCCATAAGCATTGATACCTCGAGCTGAGGATACCTATTGAGGGAGACAGAAAACAACTATTATCAGAAAGTTAACTGTGGAATGAAAGATACCCAAGGACACTGATAACTTAGCCCATAATTTACCCAGAGATATCTTCAGGAAATCCTTTAAAAATTAACTTAGTTTAATAACATGTTCCCTGTGTTCTCTTTCTCACCTCCCCGAAATCATGCATATACAGTTCACAAGCGATATCCTTGTTTTTAAAACACAGAATGGAGCAGCATTTGAAAAAAAACTGATGAATCCTGGAAGCAGGTTTTTTTCATAGGTACTTTTTTCCTAAGCATTCCCAGTAAATTCACCTGACTTACTGGGAAAAGCTGAAGGAACTTTTCTATCACAGTCAAAAAAATATTAGCTTAAAATGAGCTTCCATATGTAATAATAAAGTCAACACACAAGCACTTTCACTCACAGAAACAACACTGTCACTCTTGAGCTTTGTTTTTGACATATCAAAAACAATGTACTTCATAAGCAGATAGAAGCCAAATAGCTGAACTTTCAGTCTGTGTTTTTGTCTACATTATACATCTCAATCTAAATTATAAACTATGTGCAAAGAAACACTGTCAGAAATGCAAGAGCTGAAAAGTAATACAACCTTAATGCCAACGCAACCTCAATTTAGTCCCTAGACACATGCTATCCTATGTTGCTCAGGCTCACAGTGTGCAGAGCCAGCAAGAACATGCATGCAGCTCGCTCTCCAGAAAACGGAAGGACACACTTTCCTCCTGGCAGCAGCCCAGCCCCACTCCATCTGTAGCTACTGATCTGAATAAGGGGGTGGTTTGAAAACAGCAGATAAAGTGTCACAAATTACTTTCTCAGTAGGCACATACACAGTAAGGCCAGTTAACACGGCACTGGACTTACACTGTAGCATTTCTTTTATATAACTGTGTTAGCAAAACAGATGCTTTCAATAGCTTTAGAACACAGAGTTTCTTAAAAAGATATTTCGCTATGGAAGAATCATCCCGAGGCGTGCATGAGTTGTAACAGTTTGCACTAAGTAGCACAGCACACACAGCACGTATTTTGATTTCTTCGGCTACAGAAAAACTGGCTAGAAGACAGACGCAGCCATACGCTTTGCCAATAGTATAACTAATCATTTGCTAAATGGCAGGAAAATGATGAAAATCAAATTTCCTAGGATCTATTCCTAGGAGGCTAGAGCACCAAGGTAGTATAAGGTAGTATAGCCAGCTATAGCTCTGTTTATCTTCCTCACCATCCCACCTCCAAAAAAATAAAAGTTTTGTCTGCCATATTAGAGACAGACCTAGGTTTCACCTGAACTGTTGTCTTTCCTTTACTTTTATTGAAAATGAGTTTGAAGGTCTTTGCTGTGAAACACAGCCAAGAAATGCATGGGATTGTAGTACAGTGTGGGGAACACGATAAGAAAGGCTCCCTGCTCCTTTATCCTCTTTGTTTGTGGCCCAGCATGCATAAACTGGGAGAGGATGAGAGGAATTTTTACTTATATTTTTAGCAGCTGCTACTTTGTCTTTGTATCCTGTACAGCCTTGTGAGGGGGCTTCATGGGGAGATGCAATTATTTGGACTTACCAGACTGTTGGGTTGGGTTTTTTTTTTTTTGGGGGGGTGGGGGGGGGGGGGTGGTGGTTTGGGGGGGGTGGGGGGGGTGGGTTGGTGGTTTGTTTTAAAACATCAAGCTCTTACAATTATAATCAAATAGCAAGTTCAGGAAGTTTACAATTTGACCGACTCCACAGGAACAGGAAAAAGTTGCTTCCTGGCAAATTCTTCTACTGCAAGTCATGGAGGTGCTACAGCTTTTCATGGAAAATGGGAAAAGAGAATCTTGAACTTGTTGAACTCTTTTTTGTTGAAATTTTAAAACAAAACTCAGCCAGAGGCAAATAGGTCACAGAGCACATCAAACATTTCAGCCTAGTTTTGCAAAATCATTAGCAACAGAAAACAGGGGGTTTGTCATAAAAACTGGCAGGTATCATCAAATGCAAGTATGAATTCCAGATAGAATATAACCTTTAAAAATGATACATTTTTAGACTTGTTTTTGTAAGTTATTCATAGATACTTGATACACATCATCACTGCTTGTACAGTGTGATATACACACAAACTGTACAACTCTCCACTCCCTTGGTTTAGAAGGTTTGAGACCTGACTTCTCCCCCTTCAGACTGACATAGTTTCATTGAAGAAAATGAAATTAAACTGGTACAAAACAGACTTCAAAGTCAGCTCCTGGATCAGATTCTGCTTCCAAAATCTCACCCACAGCTAAGGATTAGATTTAGTCATTAGTTGTACAAAGATGTGCATTATCCACGCATGAAAGAGCAACATAAAATGTAGACACTGAAGTCACACCACCAGGCAAAACACCATAGCAGAGTGGCTCTGCACTAAGAGATCAAAGCTAAACATACAAATCTGAACTTCAGCCCCACAATCTTGGCTTTTTTGTCATGAATTGAGTGCATAGGTTAGATAGCCTTTGTGTGTGTGCGTGTGTGTGTGTGTGTGAAACATTCAAAATTTGCTTGAAAAATTCAGTTTGTTGCCAGACAGTTCCATATTGAGCTGAGATCTTCCAAGGAGGTGCAAGACCTCCAGGCACTGCTAGGAGAGGTGTTTACTGTGGGTTGGGCCCTGTGACCAGACTATCTCCCCTGAGACATTCAGTCACTGCCTTATCGCAGAACATATAAGATCAGTCAATCAGTCAGCAAGCCCCTCTCAGAAGTAGGTACCCAGGCTATAACTCTCATTTATCTAACAGAGTCTTAAAAATATTTTACTTTCATTTTCCAAGTGAAAAGTTTGAAAAGTTCCAGCAAAATTTAAGGCATGTTCAGCAAAAGTTTTAAAAATGGCTTGGAAAAATCTCATTTTTCCACTGAAAAGAATTATTAAAATGAAAAATGTACTTTCAAATCAGAGGATAAATGTGTGTCCCACTATATTTTCTCATTAGTAATCAAGACTATAAATTACTGACTTTCTCTGGTTTTCTTTGATGTATACAATATATTGCTAGGTGGGCAAGACAATGTAAACATTATCTGTAAAAGATACAATGCTGTCAAGGCCATTCACTTGATCCCATGCATAAACAGCCACGCTACAATTTCACTTTGACCTTGTCTTACCACTAAAGTGTTTCCACAGGATTCCAAAGTACTTAGATTGATGATGAAAATGACCACTGCTGGAAAGGTGTTGTTATTGATGAAACCCCTGCAGTGGGCATCCCCATGTTTCCCATTCAGGGCCAGATCTGTCTCAGAATAACCAGAGAAAAGAACTGTGCAAAAATTTATCTTCATAGTAATTGTCTGTACTCCACAGAAAACATTGATATCTCGTTCAGCTGCAAGAAAAATACAGGGAAAGACATTGTAAGAAGATGTATTTCAACTAATCTCCATATAATTATTGTAGTAGTTAGTCTAGTGTTATAACTTTTGATCAAATCAATTTTTAGACCCCAGTCACAGCAAACTATTGGAATACAAAGGTCAGAATTGCATTATTTTGAAGAACAGATTTGACTCTACAACTTCACTAAAGAGAAAACAAGAATTAATATGGTAACATAGTATAGCACACAACAAATCCATTATTCCAAAATTCCCTAGCAAATCATTCAGTAGCACATTCATAAACGAAAGCACTGCAACAGAGTGAAAAACAGCAAGTGGTTAAATATTCAGAGTCTGATTAAACAGCCCCCTTCTGGAACAGAAATTTCCAGCAATTTTCAGAAACTCAGGAGGCCGAGCTCTGCTTTCCAGCCCTGGCATGGAAGTCAGGTGTGTTTGAGGTTGTCTGGAGTCCACTTTGTATGCATATTGGGTTTGCATGGCAAAGTTTTGGTAGCAGGAGGGCTACAGGGGTGGCTTCTGTGAGAAGCTGCTAGAAGTTTCCCCTGTGTCCAGTAGAGCAATGACAGCCAGCTTCAAGACGGACATGCCACTGGCCAAGGTCGAGCCCATCAGTGATGGGGGTAGTGCCCTTGGGATAACGTATTGAAGAAGGGGGCCGGGGGGGAGGGAACCTGTGCAATTGCAGCCAGAGAGAGGAGTGAGAATATGTGAGAGGAACGACTCTGCAGACACC